GCGTCCCCGTATCTTGTGATGAAAACATATTATATATAATTAGATAAAGGCTGCGTATGTGTATTCAGCGCTACGTAATGTGATATTACCAATTGAATGAAATAAAACAGATAAGTAATAATTCCTGATTTACTATAATACTATACTGGGCTATATGCCTTACTTATCGATTCGCAAACTGTCAGTTCACGGGGAATTGCTTTTTAAAATTAAGAACCTGTTCGTATTTCTGGATTCCACGTCGGCGAGCCGCGTACTTGAAAACAGGATTCTCTTACTCGCATGCATGCATGTCTTAGATTCTACATACAAATGTCTTTTCTCTCTCTTTCTTTGCCCCTCTTTCTCTTGGATATCAGACTCTTCGTTTGGCTATTCCTCGGACTGTCAGATTGTACGGTTTTCTCGAGAGTCACGGGCGCTTATGTGTGTATGCATATGTAAATGCCGGAGTACCACGTAAATACCGGATTTTATAGCGCGCGTAAGTAGGCAGTCCTCTCCTTTTCTCTGCGAAAGATCCTCCTCCGTCACCGGGAGATTTGGGTCTCCGAAACGAGATTCTTGGAGTCCGGCCCGTTTGGAATAGAATCATCACGCTTTTGGACTCACGATTTTCGATAGGGCACCACATCGACGATTAATTTTCGAGGCCGCTTTCTCTTAATAGCCCGCCTTTCTATCGGCGTACCTTTTTGGGACATCAGCGAGTGTCTGTCCAAATTTTCGTTGCTCACGTACGTTGTACGCGATGCCCATGATAATCACGCCCGACTTTCTTCTGATATATTGTTAGAAATATATGATATCCGATTACGAGAATTGTACACGTGGAAAATATGAAGAGTCTGTTCCTTTTAAAATAATCTTGATTATCGAAGAAACATTCTTAAAAAAATTGAATATCAAAATTGTTTTTAATAATTGAATATATGTACAAATATTGTTTTTTTTTTTTGGACAAGTGAACGACGCGCGTGGATGTTGCATTATCATTAGAAATGGAGAATAATTTTCCCGAGAAAGCAACATCTTCGGAATGAAGCGCCCCGTGTCAAGTGATCGTCGTTAATCATTTAGGGATTAAGGCTGCAAAAATACTCGCTGATAATTACATAAATATCCGGGCTAGTTCGGTCGACTCTGAAATGTCGCGTCCCTGATTGAACTTTTCAGTCGAGGAAATTCAAGTAGAAGAATATAATTGGTTGATCGAATTTGGCCTGAATCGTGCGCGATGCAAGGAGCCTGACGGGGTAACTATTGTCCGCGAGCGGACGACGGAGATTTCGCGGGGGCAGCGACTAAACTTGCACGAGCTCGTGATAGCACAACGGACGGAGTCATCCAGACTGAATGGCCGAGGAAGCAAAACGACGCTTCACAGTGACTGGCTGGAAACCGTTTGTGGATCCTCTATTTTTTTTTCTTTCTTTTCTCGAATGTTTCGTGGCGTATCTCGTCGACACTTTCCACGGAGATTTTAATATGATGTATTTCGGTACAGTTACTCACGACACGTCCAGTCGAATGCGTATAAGGGACGCTCTGGCGGAGATAAAAGATCAACCGAATGGCTAAAAAGGAGGGAGGGGGAGGGGGAAAAAAAATCGGAGTGAAAAGTTCGAATGAAGGTAGTTCGCTCTACCAGCTGAAAGAGAACAAAGTGAAGGAACAACCCTCGCCACCCAAGAAATTGTTGAATACCGATTTAATCTTTCGAGTGAAACTATAGGTACTTGTGAAACACGATTCAACGTCAAACGATGTCAATGGAGACTGTACATTCTATCTTCCATAATTCTAATGATCTCGCATTGAAAAATATGGAGTTACGCCAATACAACATTATACCTCTCTGGCAACGTTAGTCTACTCGGTAATACACCGTTTAGCGCGTTATTACTTAGAAATTTAATACGACATTTTTTTAAATTTAATATGAAGTGTCGCAAGTTGCACACTTACAGAATAAAAGAAATACTTTTTTAATAAGCGGAGCCTCGAAAGAACTGTCCAGATATATAGGATAAAAACACACGAGGGGATCTGCCTACCGGAAATATTCGCGCCGCACCGTAATCTTCGCGCTCGGGAAATCAAACGTTGAGAGAAAGAAGAAAAAAAAAAGAAGAAGCTTTTACGCGAAAGAGAACGCGTTCACTCGCACTTTCGCGTATTATCTACCGTATCGTTATCCCTCGACGTATACCGCCGGCTACCATAAGCCATTTCCGGATGGACGAGTTAGCACCCATGCGGGTGAGAAATCTAGGTCAGACCCATTGCTGTCGGTTAGCTTTCGAGTCCCGTTCTTATCGGTCGTGGCATTACGCAAATGCGCAGGCGAACGCGCGCGATGCTCTCGCGCGAAGGATTTCGAGAAATGAAAACGAAAGCGCCAAACAATGCGAAGTGAGCGAACGCGAGTGTCCGCGAGACGACGCGCGCACGCACATATCCGAAGGGTATATTCGCATAAACAATCGGTTATTTGTCGACGATCAGCCTGCTTTCGCGTTCGATCGTCCATTCAATGCGGGGGTCGCATCTTTCGGCGATTGAAGATGATGTGTCGAGAGATCGCGCGATGGTGGATATTCCGCAAATCGCGCGGCGAATCGAGATGAATGAAAAGCCTTTACAGGGGGAAAATCCGCTTCTCGAGGGATAGTCGCGACAAAGCGCGCGGCGCGCAAAGTGTCGCGCTTCCGTATTCCGCGCGAGTATTACGAAATCTTGTGCATTGCTCCCAATGCCGGGATATATGACACGGCCGTCCGGAAAGACGATTCGCGAAATTGGACTTAGGAAAGATCAGCAATCGTCTGCGTGCGCCGTGACTCAATTCTCAAAGCGGAGAAGCGTCCCGGTTTCAACCGGGGGGGAGGGGGGGAGGAGACTTTCGCGATTTTTTGAAATTGGAGCCAGTTTGGCGCTCGGCGGTACGCGGCGTGCGAAGGCACCGTTTCTGGTTTCCATCGGGATCTCTCGCGACGTGCGCCGCGCGATACCGTGTTATTCGAGTCACGAGCCTCGAGTATCCCAGGCGAGCAGCTTCGTCTTCCTCTCCTCCCCATCTCTTCCGCGATTTACTTCGCTCCCCGTCGCGACGAACGATTCGCGTCCCGAGATTCCGCTATCTTGAAAAAAAAATGATGAGGAAATTTTCGATCTCCTACTGCGACGCCGAGGAACGTCGGTGATTCCGCGTCGGACGTTTGCGTCAGAATTTGGAGTCCCCTTCGCGGCGTGGATGCTCCAAAATTTCACGCGTAATCTTCGCGCTCCGGTTACGGTTTATATACATACGGAAGTTGCGCGTTGCCGCGAGAACTCGTTATTGCGATATTCGGAGTGGAAGCGTGGTTGCAGCGAGCGTCACTTCACGTCACTTTCTCGTTACGGCATTTCTAATTTTAACCTTTTCATTGAAAAGCTCTTTTTCTTTTTTTTTTAAATGAAAACTTCAGTCGAGACGCGTGACGCGGATATCTCGTCCTGCGCGTGTCTTTCACCTGTGCAGCGGCGAGATCCCTACCGCTCTTGGGAAGAGAGAGAGAGAGAGAGAGGGAGGGAGGAACGCGAGCGAAAAAAAAGCAGGAGCGATCGGGTGCAATGGTGGGAGCAATGCCGTCGACGGCGGGCCTGTTTGGGCCTTACGTCGTGCTCGTGAGGGAGGGCGAGAGGGGCGATGGACGAGCGCGATCGAGATCTTCAGTAGGTCACTGGGACGTGGCTCGTGGCCGAGACGAGTGTGGCTCGCACCTTCAGTCGGTCCCCGTCGGCCAGGAAAATCACCTCTGGGCCCGTCGAATCCTTGCGGTCGCACACGAGAGCACGACGGCAAGAAGTAAAAAGAGAAGAAGAAAAAAAAAGGAAAAACCACGAAAGGACTCGGAGGGAAGCAAAAAGCGCGTAGCGGGTCCGATGAGGACCGACTGACGCGAGTTGTGTGTTGGAGCCTTCCCGTTGCGGTCGGTGCATTCGTAGGTTCGTTAAAAGGGGGAAAAAAGCAGGTGATTTTCACGGGGGGAATCGTCCACGAGTGATCGCGGGTTTCTTTGACAGAGAGAAAGAGAGAGAGAGAGAGAGAGAGAGAGAGAGAGAGAGAGAGAGAGAGAGAGAGAGAGAGAGAGAGAGAGAGAACGAGGCGTCCGAGGAACCGGAAGAACACGCAACGAGGTGCATCGATTAATGTCCTTCTTCCGCAAGACTGGTTCTCTGCGTTCCGCATTCCGCAGGGAGCTGTCGTTATAGTTCCGCGCGTGCTTTCGTACGTTCGGGAGGGATATTATCCAGACGAGTTTATCCGGTACACTGTCGAGTACTTTCCGCGAATTCTTACGCGTGAATTTACGGGATGTTAATTCAAATTTCGACGAACAACGAGACGAGCAATGCAATGTGAACGTCGAGATCGTTTTCGTGAAATAAAATTAATTTGTTACGGACTGTGCTAATGTATCGTAAATCTTGCAAAATGCTTACAATTGTTGCATACAACGTGACTCTTAAACATTTTAAGAGATCGTAAAGCCTATAGAATGTGTGTGGTGGACCTTTCGCGCGGTGTTTGCACGAGTGTAGATTTGTTTTTAGGGTTAAATAGATTTCGGAAGCGCTTCGCGATCGCGAGTTCTGCGTTCTCAGATGTGAATTAAATGTTTATTGCGTAACGTTCTTCGTGCTGTAAACAAGTGTGTATATGCGCGTCCGGTTGGCGATAAAATTAGCGATTATATCGTTGTTACGATTGCGTCGTTGCTTTTGCATTCTTAATTCACGGTTATCAAGTTCTTATCTAACGATGTTATCTATATGCGCATGTCATTAGATTTCCTATTTTAACAAAAAAAAGTACGTCGTATCACTGTAAACTCATGTTTGGTCGACGATCAAACATCATTTGAAAATTTATCTCTTTCGGACCGACAGATTACGCGAGTCTCACGACAATATATCTATCAATTTTTCAGGTTTTTATCTTTTTATTACAGAGAGGACACGCACATGATGGAGAGGACGTGGCGGAATATACGGAAGACGGCCTTTCTCTTATCGCTGCCCTTACTATTGGCCGTGAGTGAAGTCACTTTCTCAAAAATTAATCATAGAATTAAATCACTTTTCTGTATATTAACAACAATTGTGAATAAGTAGTGGGCATGAAGTAATATCTCCCTAAATCTTAAAAATTTCGCGAGTTTGCTTATCTTTTCATCAAAAAAGAAGAAAATGAGCTTTCAAATTTTTGACAATTGTTAATGATTTACTTGCCTTTAATTTATTCATTTAATCATCTTCCTTTTCTTCTAAATAAATAAATAAGTTGACGTAATAGTGCCTGATATTGAATTTATCCCGCTAATAAATCAAACGAATCAATCTGGCGGAACACACTGTCAATTTTCTAATTCAGCGAGAGACCGGTTATACATATACCGCATTCGGCCCCCTGTGCGTCGCGCGCGATACGTCCGTTTCATAATACGCCCACGGTAAATTTGCATGCCACGACGATCGACATTGTAATTTCACTGCGCAATAATTCTCAGTTGAACAACGAAGATTACTACTCGCAGTTAGAGCGAATATTCTCTCTTTCTCTCTCTCTCTCCTCTCGCCCCTCCCCTGCCCCTTCTTCGAAGTGACAGACAGGTCGTTAATACAGTAACCGTTATGCTGCGCCGCGTAAAATGGTTGAAGTTATTTACGCACCTGTAGTGTGTGTACATTGTATCTTTACGTTTTGCGAATTTTATGCATTTAGTTTAGAAATAGAATTACCGGCGCGACGCGCGCGGTATATCCAGCGCATTCCGTAATTACAGCCTGCAACAACGTCGGCCGGCATCGTACGCTCTCAATATTGATTAAATCTGTCAAGCGGGAGCATCGTACATCATCGATAATGTAATAAATTTTGCTGATATAGTCAACAATCACAGGAATTTTTACGCGATTATTTATTTTCCGGGTAATATCGACTCTCCTCACACGGAGATATACGTCTCAAGCTGAAAGAACTCGCGAATATTTAATCGCGCGGGGCGCGCTTCTTCTTCTTATTGAAAACTCCGCTTGGATCCCGGTTTCGCCGATCGAGCGTTCCCAAATCCTCGAATCTACTTTAGCGTTTAGAGGACATCGTCCCACGCATACAGAGATTCGCTAATTTGCGATCAAGGAGTCTCAGAAGTAACGCGAGGAAATTTTGAAGACGCACTTGACGAGGCGGTTCGACGTTTTCGACGACCGTTAAAAAACTGATGTAACCGTTAAAAAATTCATCCGGTCGCCGGCAAAAAGTGATACTTCATTGATGTTCGGCGTATCTCCGGGACCGCTATGCGACGTGTGCACGTGCCGCTGGCCGAGAATCAACACGACGTTAAGTTAATGCTTAAGAGGAATCACCGTAGCCGCGGGCTCTGCCATGTGCCACATATATAGCCCGCGACGCCGCCGATGCTTTCCGAGGCAAAAGTCTGAATGAAGCGGCTTGACCGCGTCGTATAGTCGGTAAATACGGATACGCTCGCGGGGACGTTGTTCGTTAACGAATCTGATGATCATCTGATGTTTGTTCTTCATTCGCGTGTGGGAAATTCACTTCTTCGCGTGAGAACTGCAGAGTTAATTGTTTTTGAGGGGGCATCATCGATAGGGCAGTTTTACTCGTAATAATTACATCGTGCATTTTTATATTATTTTCACGCAAATTGCATTTGTTAGAAGGGCAATATAAATGAAAAGAGAAATGCAGAGAGGCGATTTAATTTTCGGACTAATATTCTTTAAATACTGTTCTATTTTTATATGGATTCTCTTACTACGTTTTGTGTTTTTATAGAAGTTCCTTTTTATGTGCTCCTCCTGAATAAAGAATCGATTTTACAGAACGTATTAGCACAGCGTTACTTTAATAGTTAATCGTGACAATTCATGTTAGTGTCTATATGATAAAAATAAATGATTGACTAAAGAACGTCTGACAAGTTTCGCGCTAACATGACATGTACTATTTTTTAAAAGGTAAAAAAAAATGTCTGCATTCGACTATTCAATTCATTTCGTGATCAAATCTCCGTGCCAGTTTCGTTTGCTTGTATTATTTACCTGCATTATATGCGGCCGTTCTCGACAACAAGACGACCGTAAAGAGGGAGAGACGTTGAGCGTAACGACGTTTAACATAATAACTGATGGGAGAAAACACGGTGAGAAAATCAAATGAGAGTCGCGTAGAAACTAGCGCGTACCCGCGGCCGTCCAATTTGTAATTGGCTTCGATATTTCGAGATTTATCGAAGAAACGAGCGAGCGCATCAGCGAAGGCGGTGAGCCGCGTCGGGCGCGCGCCGCGGGAGGGTGTACACACGCATATACACGCTATAATTTACGTGTTTCCTCTCCGCGCGGCAGCGTGACAGCGGGAATACGCCGATATAATAACGCCGAATGCAGCCGTCGTATACACACGGACGGCGGAAGATAAAGTAGGAGGAAATACGCGGCCGGCGCGCATCCACATTTACGCCTCCGTGTACCTGTTATACCCCTGTCGTGCGTGCTCTCCTCTCCGTGTGTATATACACTACACACTCTAACCGCTGACTACATAGCCGAGCCGTCGAACCGAAGATAGTAGGTCACTGCGCCGGACGCAATGCCCTCTTTCAACTATACTCTCTAGACGGTACTCTCTCTTCTTCTGTTTCCCGCTATCTTCACTTCTTCTTTCTCTCTCTCTCTCTCTTCATCGTTCGCCAGCTTATACCTCCTTCGTCCTCCTACCTCTCCTCCGTTTCTCACGCTTTTTTCTTCCTCAATCATCTCCCTCGTCTCTCTCCCTCTCTTTCGCTCTCTCTTGTTCTCTTTCTCGCTGTATCTCTATTTATCCCTCTTCCTACCTTCATTCCAAATAACACGGTAATGGGTACAAGTTTTGTATCAAATGATCGGCTACAGTCCGCGCGACTGATCTTTTGAAGTCGCGAATATTTTTGATCATTGTGTTTCTTTCAAAAAGTTTTTATTTCCTCTAATATACGAGATAGAGATAGAGATAGAGATAGAGAGCAAATCCAAAATAGATGAGTTAAATCATATTGCGAACGTCTAAAAACTAATACAAGCATATGGTTGTAGCGCTGCTTATTTATCGTTTCCTGCAAAGATGCGGTAAATAAAAATGAAATAAAATGAATAAAAAATCGTGTATTCTTAATACGCAATGTTTTTGCGTTCTGCAGAGATGTAATAAAAATAGATAAAATATATCTATGTGGTTTGAAAAAAGTGGAATAAAAATAATAGGAGGAAGTGATTGTTCCGCCTTTTAAGGAGCTAATATGCGTGATTTAGCATTGAATGTTTTCTTAGACGTTGTCAGACCGCCATTGACAAGTCGTAATGAATGAGAATGAAGCGTTCCCTGTATTTGTGATTCTTAACAACGTGCAATCTTGTGGACGACCACAGAGCGCTTCCCATTGCACTCGTTCCGGCAGCCGGCTTAGCGATCTTGTAATTTGAAATCGTTACCGGTCTTTCCCATGTCGTTTCAAGTCGACCATCGATGACGATTCTATATAATCGCGAGGTACCGCTTTGCATACGGACTATGTAATTTTAATTACGTTCTATTCGTCTGGGATTTTCCACGTTCTTTGAGAATGAACGAGCCTGAGAAGGTTCATGCTGTCAGTTTTTTCGAGAAGAAAGATTCTCCGCGGATACTGCCATTTGCATTTCTAAAAATACTGTGAAAAATAGAACAGCAGAGATAGAGTTTTAATTTCTGTCGCTTCCTATTTATGAAATACTTATATCTATTGTTTATCTAACGAGTTTTCGTCACGGATCTCTGGATTTTTAAATCTAGATCCAATTGTTATAAAAATATACATATTATCTTTTTTCGATTTCTACTTAAATATAAAATACTCTTTTATAACGCTATGTAGCAGCTAACGATTATTAATAACGGTTATTAAAAACAGGCCTGATGAATTTCTTAAAATCCTATCATTGACATATTAATATTATCATTTATACTGTACTATGTATTTTACTCCTTTATAACCTTATAATCTCCACAAACGATCGTACAGCTTCAAAGACTTTGATAACGAAATGCTTAAATCATAAAACAGTCTTTTTTATTCGAGAGCAGATTTTAATTGCACGCTAGTTTGCTTGCCTCAATTAATTTTTCTTTAATTTCTGCTTCCCCCTGAAGCAATTTGATTGCCTTTTTATGAACGCAGCAGCAACGCGGAGCCCTTGCACTAAAGCACTCCACCTCAAATTTATCGTTTGTATCCGGGAATTGAACAAATGTTAATATAAAATATTTTTTTGATAGCGAGCCTTTTAATAAAGGCACCAAAGGAATTGCAATAAACAGTGCAATTTTAATAGGATTATATTGAAAAAGTTGAAATTAAAAATAAATAATGCCGTGTTTGCATACGGACCGTGTATTATTCCCGTTAAAATTTGCGTTTCGAGAATTTTATAAGCATATACTACCTTTTATATGTACCGCGGGAAAGAATTCTTATTTTTTTTGTCGTCGACGCGTATAAAAATTGGAAGATTACAGAAATAAATATTTCATAATTATGTAATTACGGATACTCCTTTGGCCATAAGACCCACGAACACATCCAATCTATATACCATTTTACAGCGCCGCATTATCCCACGGAGTTTCGCCTAGGATTAAATTTAATCAGCATCTGTACGGAATGAAATTTTAATCACGCGAAGAGAGTCATCGACACGCGAACGAACGTTGCCGGGGGGAGGGACGGGGCGGGGAAGGGAGGGGGATTAACCCCGTGGATAAAAGTTAGCGCACAGGAGTTGCGTGATTGCTCGCCGCCGTCCGTCGTCGCCGCGCGACGCCGAATTCGCCGCGCCGCGCGGCCGTGACGTTTCGCGCACTTGATGCATCGCCGTTTCATAGTGCCGGGCGGCACAGCACGGCGGTGTTCCTCTTTAATTAAAATCCCGGCCGACGAGTTTTATCCCGCGAAAGTGCACGCCCGCACGCGGTTCTCAGCCTGGTT